TTTCTATGTCTCTTAGTGAAAATGAACTACAGAGACTTGTGCTTTCCGTGTTCGAGCTGCTTACCGGGAATTCTCCCAAATCTTCCCATGGCCACTTCAGGCCTGTAGCCTACATACACTTAATTTGCGTTTGCAGCTATAGCCTACTAGTGGTTATTTTTTATTAATTTATTTTTTTACGTTGCAGTAGGAAAAAGATATATAATAGCCTAATCAGAAAACACGCCCGTGTCTGCTTTTTTTTTTACGCAATTGTACCAATAAACAAAATCTCCAGTCTTTCACATGCATCTTAAAGATCGTGTTTAATTGTGAATGTGAAGCGGGGGCGGCACGGTAGGGTTTTGCCTAGAGCAGCAGTTGAGCTCGCGCCGGCCATGAGTAGAGCTGTCATATCAACCGTATTTAACGGTTGACATTTTATACAGTTGATTGATTACGAAGGTTTAACTTTTTATTTTGAAGTGTGATAAGCCATTAAAAGCCTAAAACATTTTAGACAGTGGCAGCACTGATCTTTGAGAGGCAAAACAGGCCACAAAACTGAAATGTAGTATTGAAGAATTATATGGTAGCCTAAGACATTTTTATGTGTTAAGGTGCCATCTACTGCTTTTCTTAACATGTGTCATCACCATCAGATACAAAAACAATCTGTGTAAAACTGTAAAAACTCACCAAAGTCTGAACTTGTCTGAAAGAAGACCCTCAAAAAAAAAAGGATAACTTGCTGGACATAGTAGTGTTTCTTTAAATTACACATAATAAGATGAGAATGATGAGCAGATTTCAATCTTGACAATTTATAGCCTGTTTGCCTTATAGGCCTGTAGACAACATGACCTGCAAGTTGTGTCAACGTGTTAAATGAGCTAAGAGTGAGAATGCTTAAACACTGTTTTAACTTATTTATAGATAAGATAGATTGCCTACAGAAACTGACTTTCAAAAATAAGCCCACCCTGAGGCAATAACTGACAACTAACTCAGACCTGTCTTCACTTAACTGGAGAAAACACCTCTAAGATACTGAGGTTTATGATACCATGGTTATAATAACCTGAAAAGTGCAGATTATTTTACTGAATTTTGGTTGTTGTGTTGTGAAAAGTAAATGTTCTCTAAAACGAACTCATTTCATTTCTGAACCGATACAATGCATATAATGTCAATCATTGGCAATATTACTCCTGTTGGATTCATTTTATTGCAAACACAATCCTGAGAAAGTGTAAGGGTACACAGTGTAGGCTATTACACATCAGCACATTACACAGGAATTTTATTTCACAGCAGTGGCAAAAATAGCTTGAAATGTGATGAGTTTCTCTCGTTTTTTCTCCATTCGGACATCTGTGAATCCGGAGGACTGAAGTGCCTCCATGTAGACCTCAGGACGCCATTTGTGTCCAGTGAGCACTTTCATATTAGCAGCTTTGATGACACTGTCTAGTCTGAGAGTTGTAACCATAATTCCACCTGCAAGGACAGAAAATAATAATTTCCAATATGAAAATAAAGAAGACTAGTAATCTGAGACCACATTGTATGGATATGGTTCATGTTTTGAACTTGTGGAGTTTACCTGAGATGTGCTAAATACTAGGCTAATAAAATTCAGAACCCTAATAATCTAATTCCAATTCATAATTTATTATGCTGACAATAAGTATAGAAAAAATGCATGCATCCACTGCCAGCAACATTGGATGATGTTAATTTGTCCAAAAAATAAATAGATACATGCATAATTGCCTATGAAATTTATTTTATTAAGTTTCCCCGTCCTAAATACAATATCATAGACGTTGGTTCGGACATTTTATTGACTCACTCAAGTTCTCGAGATCTCACCTGGTTTCATCACTCTGTGAATCGCTCTCGCGCCTGCTTTCAGATCCGGCCAGAAGTAATAGCAGTTGCAGTGAAACACCTTGTCAACCGTGTTTTCCTCTATCGGCATGGCCACCAAATCACTGCAATACAACACAGCCTTTCCTCTGGAGATCTGCTCCTTCATGCGCTTACTGGCCATCTCATGCATGTATTGAGAGTAATCCACACCGAGCAGTTTCCCCTCCGGAGCCGTGAGGAGCTGCGCCGCCGCCTGCAGACCGAAGCCCGGCCCGTGGCCGAGCTCCAGCACCGTGTCTTTGGGTTGTATGTTGCTCAGTTTCACCGCATTCTCCTCCAAAATCTGATTGTGCCATTTAAAGAACTTGGTCACCAACCATCCAAGAATACGTGGGGTGACCCAGCTGTTTGCCCACTTTGTTAGGCAGCATTTCTATGCTGAAAAAAGTATACGTAGCCTATACGTATAGATATAGGCTATATATATATATATAGGTCTACAGAGGGGCCCTAAATAGGTCGGAACTCCGGAATGTGCGTATACACTCGGAGCAACTCCTATTCAGAAGTACAAAAAGGGGGGTGGGGGTTTAGGAAGCCCGAGGTAAGGGAGTGGGAGAATATATCAAATAGCACCAGGCCAGGGGGCTAAAACTGCCTCACAATAGGGTG